TAATGTGTCTCTTTGGGGTTTAAATGTGTTTCTTGTATGTAGCAGAAGGATGGATTCTCTTTTTGTATCTCTGTTAGCCTATGTGTTTTTGTAGGTGAATTGAGTCCATTGATATTAAGAGGTATTAATTGCCAGTGATGGTTAATTCCTGTTATTTTTTGGTTGGTAGTGTTTGTGTGTTTTCCTTCTTTGGGGTCTGCCAGTGTGAGGTTATCTGTTGCCTGTGTTTTTGTGGTTGCAGCTGACTTCCATTGGTTGAAGTTCTCCTTTTAGTACTTTTTGTATGTCTGGATTTGTGGATAGGTGTTGTTTAAATTTGGCTTTCTCATGGAATGTTTTGTTTTCTCTGTCTATAGTGATTGAAAGTTTTGCTAGGTATAGCAGTGTTGACTTGCTCCTGCGGTCTCTTAGTGTCTGCAGCATATCTGTCCAGGACCTTCTGACTTTCAGAGTTTCCATTGAGAAGCCAGTTGTAATTCTGATAGGTCTGCTTTTATGTGTTACTTGGCCTTTTTCCTTTGCATCCATTAGTATTCTTTCTTTATTCTGTATATTTAGTGTTTTGATTATTATATGACAAGGGGACATTTTGGGGGGGTCCTGTCTATTTGGTGCTTTGTAAGCTTCTTGTACTTTTGTAGCTATATCCTTCTGTATGTTTGGAAAACTTTTTTCTATGATTTTGTTGAATATACTTTTTGTTCCTTTGAACTGGAATTCTCATTCTTCTTTCTTTGTTATTCTTAGGTTTGGTCTTTTCATGGTGTCTCAGAGTTCCTTGATATTTGCATTAAGAATTTGTTGGATTTAACATTTTCTTTGACTGATGTGTTTATTTCTTCTTTTGTATCTTCAACTCCTGAGATTCTCACTTCCATTTGTTGTAATCTGTTGGTTATGCTTACATCTGTAGTCCTGTTCATTTATCCAGATATTCAATTTCTAGAATTCCTTAGGTTTGTGTTTCTTTATTGCTTCCACTTAAATTAAGTCTTGAACTACTTGAATTGTTTGCTTCACTTGTTTGATTGCCTTTTTTTGGCTTTCATTAAGAAATTTATTGATTTACTCCAATTTTATATTTGTCTTTTCCTCCATTTCTTTAAGGGAGTTTTTCACTTCCCCTTTAAGAGCCTTTATCATCTTCATAAAGTTATATTTAAAGTTATTTTCTTTTGCTGTTTGTGGATTAGGATGCTCATGCCTTCCTTCTGAAGGACCATTAGGTTCTGGTATTGCTATATTGCTCATTAAGTTATTGAATGTATTCTGAATGTATTCTTGCATTGGTCCCTCCCCATCTCTTCCTCCAAGTGGTAAAGGCAGTGTCTTTGCCTCTTGGTTCAATTCTTGAAGTTGGTGTCTGTGTCTTAGGAATACTCCTATGGACCAATCATTGCAGTTGCTATTTGTGTCCCAGTGAGTCAGTACTGGTCCCTTCTGTGTGTATTGGAACTGTTGAGGTCTCAGAGGATGGGTGTGTTTGGAGGAAGAGTGGGACTTGTAGTTACAGGGTCTGGTGGGGGGTGATAAAGCAGCCTGCCTGCAGGAGGCTTGCCCACTGATCACTAGTGCAGCTGAGATGGGTGTGGAAGGGTCCTGGGGCTTTGCTTCAATTCGTAGGGCCTAGAGACTGTGCTGTCCAGATGGAAGGCTGGCCACTCACCTCTACTCTGGTCTACTCTGTGCATCACAGTCTGTGTCTCAGTGAGTCGCTGAAGGTCTTGGGTACTTAGATTTTTCAAAAAAAGTCTTCAGTCTGTGGTCACAACTGTTCCACCTAAACCACATACTTCAGAAGACTGGAAAGCCATTCCCTTCTATGTAAAGAGTCATATGCAGATTGTCAGCATCAGGCATGTTCTGAACATATGCGGCACATGTCAGTATTAGTTTGATGTTCCTGTCTTCTTTTCCAAAACTGTCTTCTTAAAAAAGAACTTAATTTAGAAGCTGGCTAAGAGTATCCATATTGACAAAAACGTTTGAAGTCTTGACTTTCACCAGAGGGTTTTCTTAGACTCTATGACTCTATTATCCTGGAGCAGTTTCTGCACCATGACTTTAGACTGTTCTTGCGAACCCAGCTTCCTTCCTTCCTTCCTTCCTTCCTTCCTTCCTTCCTTCCTTCCTTCCTGCCTGCCTGCCTGCCTGCCTGCCTGCCTGCCTGCCTGTTTTGTTTTTCAGACAAGGTTTCACTGTGTAGCCTTGGCTGCCCTGGAACTCACTCTGTACATCAGGCTGTCATTGATCTCTGAAATCAACCTGCCTCTGCCTCCTAAGTACAGGGATTAAAGGCTTTTGGCCCCCTGCCTGGTCTACACATTAACTTTTAGGTACCTTAGTTTGATTTGTTTTAAGATGGCCAATTCATTATTTCTTAAGAGTTCCAGGAGGGAAGAAGTGAGAGTGGGGAAAAAAGTTTTTAACTGTACAAGTGAAGGGCTCTGCTCCTAAGAAGTAAGACATTCGAAATATCACATAGCAAGTAAGTGTGAGGGGTCATGAGTGTGTCTCTCACATCTGCAGAGTTAGTATCTACCATCTCCCTGCTCAGAATTCTCAGGAGGGCTCTAAGACCGCTATGCTCACAATAATAGGGAGTGATAGGTAGTCCATGGTGGTCAGAGGTCACACTGTCTGAGATGTGGAGTCAATCTTTTGTCCCTAGGAGTCAGACCTTAAGTCTGAAACAGCCCAAAATGATTCCAAGAAAACAGAGAAAGATCTTCCGAGCTCCAGATCTGAAAGACATGCTGCAAGTCTTTCAAGGTGAGAGCAGCTACATTCTGTGGTTACCTGGGGTACCTGGGGGACTCTAGGGGAGGCTTGGGCTGCACTCTCTGGATAGAGAGTGCTGTCTCTGATCATGGGTAGAGAAACTGAGAAGAACAGATAATGTGTACCAGTGATGGCCTCATATTTAATGGACAGCATCATTCATCCCATCCTATATCACAATTTCCAGACCTTTCCTTACTCTGCATAGCACATTGACTTTAATTTTCTGATTCCCTTGCTTACATTTAATGCTGTGCATTTTCATCATTTCAGGGCTCCAGGATGCCCAGCGCTACTGGGGTAAGGAGAAATCACACCATCAGTCTCTCTCGCCTTAATGACTTTCAGAGTTTATTTCTCTACTAATACTTATGTTTTATGATACTGCTCCTAATATGCACAAGAATCTGCCTCTATTTGACTTTAAAAATGGCTCTGCCAAGTTCCCTCTCACTTTCTTCTCCGGCCTTTGAGACTTAAATCACAAATAAGGCAGTACCTGGTTTCTCATGTGACTCATAATTTATATGTCTCATTTTTCTGCAGTTCACGTGAACCTGCTTCAACTCAGCAATAAAAACATTGTCATTAACGCGGACAAAAGACAAATACAATATAGGAGTGGTAATAGAAGAAATTTGCAAGTTTCTGAGTCCTATGATTTAGGTGTCCTAGGGTATCCAGCTATCTACTCAGGGAAACATTACTGGGAAGTAGATGTGTCTAGATGTGATGCCTGGATCCTGGGAATAAATGATGGAAGATGTGCTCAACCTCAGCTTCATCCAGTGAATCAAAAGGGATTCAGAGTCATCAAAAATTCTGTTGTTAAACAGGATGTAAAATATCAGCCCCAATATGGCTACTGGGTTATAGGAATTACAAACAGGTCTGTATGTAATGTCTTTGAGGTGTGCTCTGTCCCTCAAAATGCTAGTGTCTCATTCCTTTCTCTGACTGGCTCGCCCACTCATGTTGGAGTTTTCCTGGACCGAGGAGCTTGCACTCTCACGTTTTATGATGTTTCCAACCATGGAGCTCTCATCTATAGATTCTGTGACTGTTCTTTCCCTGCTGCGGTTTATCCATATTTTAATCCTATGGAGTCATCAGGGCCAATGACAGTCTATGGACCACCCTCTTAACCCCTCACTCGTATCTGCACAGTGCCTCATGTCTGATGTACCTCAAATACCTGAAGTCCATGGTATCATTACAGTTTTTATTTCTATCGTTGGTTGTAGGAAACCATGGCCTAGCTACTCTGAGAAGCATTTGTTATAGGTTTTTCAGGTTAGAGTCCATGGCTCCTGCAATACAATGTGTTTTTCAGTTTCTGAGATACTGATGCACTCCCCCTAACAGTGAAGCATTCAATCTACTTCGTGTTTCTCTGTACGTTTCCTTAGAAGTCAAGGACACATGGAAGCTTGAGGGGACCGTAGGTCTTAGAAATTAATCTTGGGTACCCTGTATAGATTCCAAACATCATTGTTGCCTGGCAACTACAACTGTATTGATCCTGGAAATTATGATTATATTCTGTATAAAAAGTTTGATTGCTCTCAACAAAATTGTCACAGCCTCTATCTTGCCACAGAGCCCTTCCAATCTAGGCCTTGTTTCATTCCTTATGGCCATCTCAGGTGTCCTTGGCCTGGTAAGTAAGCACTGGCACTAACATCTGGTCTTTCTATTTTAATACTCTACACTTCTCAATACAAACAATTATGGATTCTGTTCCTTGATCCAGTTACTTGTCTGTTTTCAAGACAGTAGCAGTTCATCTCTTCCCATATTTCCAAAGACAATGACTCCTCATGGGGTGAGGTAACACCTCTGCTACCCTGCACTTCCTGTTTTGTGGTGCCACAGATGGATGCCAGGGCCTTGTGCATGCTGAGGAGGTGCTCTGCCCCTGAGCCACTTGTCTCAGCTCTGCCAAGTCTCCACAACCCCATTCCTCTGTCGCTGACAGAAGATGACAGAAAGTTCCTCTCCAGCTTGGAGAAAATATATGTAGGAGTCTCTGGCCTAGGAATGAGCCTGTAGTGGTACATCAGTTTAAACACAATGCTGTGCTTCATCAAAACTTAATAGTGAAATATCTCTAACGGTAACCACGAAGACTGTGTTCAGAGTACCTGGGTTCTAATCCTGTCATTCCTCATAGGAGTGTAATCCTGAGTAGCAACCTCAAAACCTTATGCTTTGTGGGGTTTTTGTTTTGATTTTTTTTGCTTTGTTTATTGTTTGTTGTTGTTACAGTTTTACTGTTGTAGAGTGTACACATACTGTAGGTCAATCTCAGAAAATAGATTTGAACTGTGTTAGGAGGCTCTGAGGGTAGAAGCATTTTCCTCCAAGCTCACTGACCTGAGTTCAATCAATTAAACCTCATGTTGGAAGGAGGCAGGCAATTCCCACAGATTATCCTCTAACTCCGCACACATGATGCAGTACACACAGGCATAGACACATACACAAATGTGAACGCATTATGTACGTTTTTAAAAAGAACAAGTCTTATGCACATCAAGCATCCACTGCACACTCAGTAGTTACTTTCTCTGTTAGTTACTGGGGAGATGTCCTGGAATGGTGATCCATGCAAAAGCGGGCAGATGGGAGGAGTGAAGATTTGACTTTCCTGATATCTTGGTGTTAGATCCTGGCATCTGTCACTAAGTGTATTCTAAAATGTTGTAGATATCTTGATTATTGTCTGGTTTTCACATTTATTTTTTGAGAGGATAATTGTGGGGCTCCATTTGTTTCTTATGAAGTACATTAAATCCTATGATTTCCATTTCCCAGTGAATGATGGTGATGCCCGTGAACTTCCCTTGTGCTGTGTTGTGAAATATGAACAATAGAATGTTTCTAAAAACTTACACTGCCTCTGGCATATAAATGATATCCACTATGGCATCTGTTTTGTCTCCTTCACGTGATCAGTGTGACTGTAATAAAGGATTGGTGAGGTTGAATACCAGAACCTGGCATGATGGTTTTGATACAATCCCAGTACTCATGAGGCACAGACAGGACGGTTGCTGTACATCTGAGTCCAGGCTCAATTAAGAAATAAGACCCTGCCTGTTTTGTTTTACTTTTAAAGAGGTTTTGGATGAGGTAGTTGGTTCAAGAGGACATGGTGAGGGATTACAGGGCAAGACGGAGTTTATTTGGATTCAGATTGCCATAAGTAAACAGAAAGACTGAGTTGAGACAGCATAGTGGGTGTTCCCAGGAGAGTTCAGGCTCAGCACCAGAGAGGACTGAATGGAGAAATTTCTGGATAGCATCAGGGGCCCTGTGGTGGAAGAACAGGACTGTACTTATGCTTTGTAAGATTGAGGGGTAGGTTCATAGCAGGAGCCTGTAGCCAGGCAGGAGGCAGGACAGTCATGTGACACAAACAGGATATCCTTTCATGTAAACTCACTTAGGTTGTTGTGACACTGGCAAGGAATCTGCTGGGGACTCATTTTGAGTGGAGCTCCATCTTGTCTCTATGTGTGACAGCAGAGAGGCAGTTACAGGGCAGCATGTAGTTTGGAGCTTCTAGCACTACCTGCTGGCAGAGTATGTATCAGCCACTCAAAACATCACCATGCTCTGTTTGAAGAATCAGAATACCTGTAGTAAAAAATAATGGATGATTTTTACTTTAATCAAATTGTAAATTCATTAAAGAAAAAACCTAACTTCATAGCTCTCTGGTGTCCTTTTTGTTTAATATTTCTTCCATACTTGTGTTTCATGGGAAAGCCTTTCCTGTGTTGAAATAAGTGTCAGCGTGTATTGACACAGTTAGACTCACACGCATTGCTGCACTGCTCAGCAGTGTGACCAGTGCTGTGCTCTCCTGGCCACCTTCATTCTTGTCACTGCATTTAGGGACTTATGGCAGACAGATTTGACCACAAAGTCAAATCTTTGTATGGAGTCAGGAGTGGAATTGTGTCTGCAGAGAATGTTCTTGAAGAGCTAATTGGCTCTCTGAACATTTTGTGGTTTTAATTCCCAAGAAGGCTGTAGATAGAAATAGCGGAGGCATTGTTTTAAATCTGTTGTAGACAAAGACATGATAGCTCATTCCTCTAATAACTGCTGTTTGGTATTTTGACTGTGTTTTGACAAATAAAGCTTGTTTGGAGTCAGAGGGCAGAGCTAGCCACTAGGTGACCATAGAGGTTTAGAGGATTGGAGACAGGAGATAGAAAGTAGCGAGGTGAGGGAGGATCTGGTCCTCTTTGAACAGAGGAATGGAAGAGATAGGAAGCAGCTGTTGGCTGCTCCCTGTTCTCTGAACTTTTAAATTCTTACCCCTGATGTTTTTTTATTGATAAAGTTTAATTAGGATAACGATTCTACCTGTATTCGCCAGTTTGAGGTTGGAATACTGCCAGGAGTTAGAGACCATTCTGAACACTAGTCAGTTCCAACCCAGTCTGGGATGTTAATTATAACCCTGCTTTGAAAACACAAAACCAAACAAAATTTTTAAAAATTTTGCATAGTTATTAACAATTCAGAAAAAAACAGAATATCATAATATTGATTGACAGTCATTGTGTTCACAGCAAGAATAACAGTTCAGTCTTTTGTCATTATCAAGATGTGGACTTTGGGCTAGGGGTTAAGCTCAGGGATGGAACACTGGCCCAGCATTCACAAGGTCCTGGATTCAATCCCTGAAGTACAAAAACAGAAGTAAAACAATAGCAAAAACCCATGGTCTCAGCACTGGGAAGGCTGAAAGAGTCAGAACTCAGATAGTGGTCAGGTTGGGGTTCATTGTGAGAGCCCGTCTCTAAAAATAAGAATAGAAAGAGGTGGAGGAAACAGGTATGATAAACAAAACTCAGCTGTCACACTGTATGCCATATTTTAGTAGATGTGAGAACATAAGGAACACATGAGATAGGAATGCAGGAGTGGGGGTGAGACTGAAAATGGGGATGGCTCAGTCTTCCCCATTGTTTCCCTTACACAACTGCTGCTGCGCCAACATGGCAACTGTCGTTCTTCTGAGCGAGGGACGTTGGGATTAACACACAACACAACTTCAGGTTCTGCAGACAAGCCTTTATTTCACTTTCTCACACAGTATATATATATATATATCCCTCAGCAGGGGAGGTCAAGCCAGTAAAAGCAGGAAGCTCATCACCGTAACTCAATGGCTTAGGGGTAAACATCCTTAGAAACATTGCTGAAAACAATAGATTGTTCCTGTTTTTGTTCCCGTTTTCAACCAACCGCAAGAATGCAAAACAGATCAAGTGGGGGTGCAAAGTCCTGTCCGCCAGGGACCCAACAATTCCCCCCTTTTTATTTTAAAAGCATGAAAGCCCCTGTCTTAGGACTCCCCCATATAGATGTAGTAATAAGAGTGGCGGGGCTGCGTCCCTGGCACCCTCTGTAGTAGTGGGAGTGGCGGGGCTGCTTCCTGCCACCGGCTAGCTTTACCAGAAATAATTACATGGAAACTGTATTCTTTAAACACTGCTTGGCCCATTAGTTCTAGCCTCTTATTGGCTAGATCTCATATCTTTGATTAACCCATTTCTAATAATCTGTCTAGAACCATGAGCTGGTGACTTACCAGGGGGGATCTTAACCTGCGTCTGTGTCCTGTGGGAGAATCATGGTGACTGACTGACAAGGCTTCTTTCCCCCAGAATTCTGTTCTGTTTTCTCTGCCAACCTAATTTTCTGTCCTATCAAAGGGCCAAGGCAGTCTCTTTATTTAACCAATGAAATTAATACAAAACAGAAGACTCCCACATCATTTAGAGACTCTTGTCTATAGGAGGCCTTAATCCCTGTCTTAGGTGAGCTCTCTATACCAGGACAGTTGCCCATCATAGGGATCCCTCATGACTTCTGCAGCATCTGCAGCCAGACTTGGGGCACTTCCTGATTACCAGAAGACAGCCTGAGCACCACTTGTCAAGTGACAGTGTGCTATATGTGGAATTGTTGCGTAAAGCAGCAGAGAATCCAAAAACAGATACTCCCAATAGCAATATCAGTACAAGCGAGAGCATTTCAGACAATCGCTGGACCCAGCCCCAATTTCACCAACTGGATCCAAACACAGCAGGGAGCCATGTGCTATTAATACTAACAATATGATGAGCTGTCTACAGGGAGAAATTCAAAAAGGAGGAATTCCAAGGGCCATCCAAACAAGTATTCAACTGTTCAACCACATCAGAAGCATTTACAACATTAGCAGGTGTAATGTACGAGACACTTGTTGTATGAGTCAAAGAAAATCTACCTGTTCTTGCAAAAGCACAGTTTGTTGATTTAAATTTAAAAGTCCAAGTCCAATATGAGAGTCCAGAGCACACTGTGTCTACAGGGACTCACTAACCCTTCCAGACAGCTGATCTCCTGATGTTCTTGAGACACCAGCACCAGCAGAGGAATCACAGCAGGCACTCAAACGATCAAAGCTCCATCAGAACTGTCCCAGCAATTACTCAGCTTACAGATCCTCGAAGAACAATTAAGAATATTGCCCCCCCAAAGTGCCATTCCACAATACAAAGAAAAATTGGGGCAGGAATGCAAGCAGAGGATCGAATAGTCATATTGCATCCAGCAGTATTATAAATTCAGGCTCTTGAGTGAAACATTCTCCCAATAAACTGTGGGGTGGAGATTAAAATCTCTATCAGCATCCCGACACTGAGGAGCAGGTTTGGGACCATAGGTATTATGTAATACTCACTGGCATTAAAAGTGGAGGGTTTCTCACTAGACTCCCAATCATTCGTAATTCTGTTGTTACCACAGTCATCATCTGAAGCAGAAGGAGCGTCACAGGCTTCATCCTGAGTCACTGGCCTTATGCACCATTCTGGCACCCAAATTGGTTTATCAACTTCTGGAGGAAAAACACATACTGCCCCCCCTCACCTTTGCCAACAAGGGGGTTGGCTCCATCCATCTTCCTGTTTGTAGATCTTTCCAATGAACCCATTTTAGGCTCTAAGCTCTAACTTGTGTATGGTGCTCCATAGGCAAGCACCCTTCAGCATCCAAAAGAATGATGGATAATTGAGTTACTGGGGAGAATATGAACTCTCCCATTTTTATTTTTTGAAAATATTGCTGAGGGTCTGATCAGCTCTTTCCATAATTGTTTGACCCATTGGGTTATATGGGATGTTTGTTTTATGGGAAATTTCATAGAATGAACAAAAGGATAAATTTATTTTGCTGATATATGCTGGGCCATTTTCTGTCTTAATAACCTCAGGTTTGCCCATATAGGCAAAAGCAGATAGGCAGTGTGCAATGGCATCTTTTGCTCATCCTCCTGAATGTAAGGATGCGAAAAGTACTCCTGAAAAGTGTCTACTGATACATGGACAAACTTAAGTGTCCCTGTGGCAAGCAGGTGTGTAACATCCATCTGCCATAATTGATTTGGTCGTAACCCTCGTCAGTTAACTTCAAAATTGGGTCTGCCTAGGAAAGGAGCACACTGAGGACAAGATGATGTAATGGCTTGTGCTACTTCTCGCGTGCATTGAGTATGATGCTGAAGGGAGTGTGCATTAAGGTGAAATTTATCATGTATTTCTTCGGCGAGGTCAGAAGTAAAGCAAATATGTTTATATTTATCAGCTAAATCATTACTTGCTGACAATGGCCCAGGCAGCTGGGTATGACTGCAGATATGTCTGACAAACAAAGGCTCAGTCCACAGCCAAATCAAATGCTGAACACAACTGAACAAATGACGGACCTTAGAGGTAGGTGATATATATGCAGATGTCTCCAATGGCTTAAAGATGTGGGCCATATACATACTATCAGTATACAAATTTACAGGTTCCCCAGGGAATAGCTGGAGGGCAATGAGGCAGGCTGTTACCTCTGCAGCTTGGGCTAATACATCCCCCACAGGATGTTTCCACACTTTTCCTCCAGAAACCACTACTGCATTAACTTTAGGGGAAGCATCTGTAAAGACAGCATGAGCTGAGGGTATGTGAGATCCTCTAATCACTCAGCAGAATATAACAGGATGATGTTTGAATAGGACCATTAATGGATGCTGAGGATAATGAGAATCAAAACTTCTGGAAAAGGAGGTGAGAAAAAGGGTCCACTCATCATGGTACTGCTGGTATTTAGTATAAGTTATTATAATCTAGTCAGGTACTTCCCAAATGTCTGGGCAGCAATCTTTTTAGCTTTCCAAAGTAATTGTATAATAGTATGGGGTGACTACCCTTGCTGGAGAGGCAGGCATGTGTACCCATAAAATAGGTCCATCCTGCCAAAAGACTCCCGTAGAGGCAAAATTGGAAAAAAGAATTACAAAATTTAATGATTGATCATAATTAATCTGCTGGAGATGGACCCTATCAATGTTGTCCAGAAGAAGCCTTAAGGTCTGCCTGGCTGCAGGCATCAATATTCGAAGAAAGGTTGGGTTGATATCTCTCAAGACCATATCTTACAATGGTCTTAAGTCACCTGTTTTAATTGCTAGGGACGAGTGTATCCACTGTAAGTCTCCCAGTAATTGCTGCCAATCATGTA